ATTGTTGTTATGTGAAAGTCTCACCAACCCACCGATTCTAGACCATTGTTGTTATGTGAAAGTCTCACCAACCCACCGATTCTAGACCATTGTTGTTATGTGAAAGTCTCACCAACCCACCGATTCAAGACTATTGTTGTTATGTGAAAGTCTCACCAACCCACCGATTCTAGACCATTGTTGTTATGTGAAAGTCTCACCAACCCACCGATTCTAGACTATTGTTGTTACGTGGAAGTCTCACCAACCCACCGATTCTAGACTATTGCAATCCTGAGAAAGCATGTTACTAATTACACCTAATGGTTACTGTTTGTAGGAGTGTGCAGGGGAGCCGTTGTTTATGTTGTATCAGGCCATGAAACAACAAGTATCAAAGGGACCAGTAGACAACGTCACCAGTGAGGCCAGATACTCTCTCAGTGAGGACAAGCTCATCAGACAACAGATTGAATACAAACAAATGGTAGGTTACATGGTACAGACAAATGGTAGGTCACAGAGTACAGACAAATGGTAGGTCACAGAGTACAGACAAACTGTAGGCTACATGGTACAGACAAATGGTAGGTCACAGTGTACAGACAAATGGTAGGTCATAGATCTAGAGTACAAACAAATGGTAGGTCATAAAGTACAGACAAATGGTAGGTCATAGAGTACAAACACATGGTAGGTCACAGAGTACAGACAAATGGTAGGTCACAGAGTATAGGCAAATGGTAGGTCACAGAGTACAGACAAATGGTAGGTCACAGAGTACATACACATGGTAGGTCATGGAGTACAGGCAAATGGTAGGTCACAGAGTATAGAGAAATGTTAGGTCACAGAGTACAAACACATGGTAGGTCATAGAGTACAGACAAATGGTAGGTCACAGAGTACAAACAAATGGTAGGTCACAGAGTACATACACATGGTAGGTCATGAAGTACAGGCAAATGGTAGGTCACAGAGTATAGAGAAATGGTAGGTCACAGAGTATAGAGAAATGGTAGGTCACAGAGTACAAACACATGGTAGGTCATAGAGTACAAACACATGGTAGGTCACAGAGTACAAACAAATGGTAGGTCACAGAGTATAGACAAATGGTAGGTCACAGAGTACAGACAAATGGTAGGTCACAGAGTATAAACTTATGGTGTATTACAAAGAACACTTCGGTAGACCAAGAAAGAAATTCTAGATTCCAATACAACGTTCATTCTTCAACAACTTGCAAAAAAGCAGAAATGATTGCTTTAACTCGTAGTTAAAATTCTGTAGGTGACTTATAGTGGATTTATACCTTTGTTTTACAGACTGTATATGTACAAGACATGGAACAGTTTGGACAGCAGCCTCACCCAGTGAAAGTTTTGGACTGTGATACCATAGCACAGGTCAAGGAGAAGATACTAGATGCTATCTATAAAAATGCGCCGTTCAGTAGTCGGCCTATAAAAGACGACGTAGACTTAGGTAAGGATGTAGTCAGGACATGTTTGGATAGATGTTTTAAACAAGGCCAGTGTTGTGTTAGGTGTGACACAGACCTAAGGCAGCTCGGTTAAATACCCCCAACTTTCAATGCCTTGAGCATCCGTTGAAAGAAAGAAAAAATGATCATTTAGATTGGATCTGCCTTAGATTTGTAGCGATATCTTGACCTGCTAACTGTTGTCATGGTTACTATAAACTTGTAGCACTCTATGGAACTAGTCATTGTTGTCATAGTTACAAGGATATGCTTGGTTTTGAATAATTAATCGGTCACATTTTGTATTTTGTTAATAATCGGTGTACAGATGCATGATTGATGCAATTAACACATGTGAATAATTGTGATTGATTGCTCGTCAGTTAACCAGAGTAGAGCTGTGTAAAGTGGCCACACGGCACCACACTAGAGATGCGAATGACATAGAAGAACTTGCACTGATTATTTTCTTTGGTGTGATTTGAGTGGAGGCAGCGAGAGATTTATTTCTGAGTGGGGACAGAGAGTTTGTTCAGTGTGTGTGGGGCAGTGTTGAATCAAGTTGTCAGGACAAACAGTGTGGCACAAAACATGATAAAACTTCTCCTTCAGAACCAGCCATCTTTTCTCAAATCTTAATAAGACAAGATATTAAAGTAAATGTTGAAGGCCGATGAATGGCGGAGATTTTTTTGAAGATGAGACAAAATCTGTAGTAAGTGATGATGAAATAGTTTTATGTGAGGCCTGTCTGTGTCCTGGCAATTAACTTGGTTTCCATTTGCATGACAGGGGTGTATGTGGAGATGTATTTGGTTGACGTTTTGGGCATGGAATGACCACCTTTGTTTGCTTGCATAGCGATACTATGTGTACGGTATACCTCTGGACCAAGTAGATTGGCTCCTAGAACGCTTGTCTCGTCTAGTAGTGTGTTGTGTGCTGCATGTTGTGTTGTGAACCGTAGTGTGTAGTAGCTTATATCAGCTTTTTGATGGGTAAAGTTTATGGTACAGACACATTTCACACCTTGCTAAAAACACTAGCGATGAGTACCTGGTGCTTTTATATCGTTTTAAAATCAAATGATCAGTTTAATTAGAGACAACTTGGACAAGAATGCCACATCCCTACATTTCAAATTACGATAATGGGCTGCCTCCTAGATAGTTACTTTGACCGTGGCTATATCTTAATTGTCCTGTGGAGGGGTAGGTGATGGCATGCCTCATTGCTCTGTACATTTTAAATTGTAACGTGCATTAACTATTGATTTGATATGGATGTAGGTGCCTTGCCTCAGCATTTGATTTGTGGTCAGAATTGACACCTTGCCTTTCCTTATGTGTATATGTAGGAGTAGGTGCTGGCTTGCACTTCTGTATAGATGATGGCATCCGTCTTTACTCTGTTTTTATACTGGTAGATGGTGGCATACCTCATCACTCTGTTGTCATCGGTAGAGGCATGTATGCATGCATGTACATGGTAGAAAACCTCGTCAATCTGTTCTAGTAGATGGTTGCATTCCTTGTCACTGGCGTATTATTAGGTTGTGGCATGCCTTGTCAGTGTGTTGTAGTCAGAATAGGTAGTAGAATGGTACGGTGCCATGCCTTGTCAGTGTGTTGTAGTCAGAGTAGGTAGTAGAATGGTATGGTGGCATGCCTTGTCGGTGTGTTGTAGTCAGAGTAGGTAGTAGAATGGTATGGTGGCATGCCTTGTCGGTGTGTTGTAGTCAGAATAGGTAGTAAAATGGTACGGTGCCATGCCTTGTCAGTGTGTTGTAGTCAGAATAGGTAGTAGAATGGTACTGTGCCATGCCTTGTCAGTGTGTTGTAGTCAGAATAGGTAATAGAATGGTACGGTGCCATGCCTTGTCGGTGTGTTGTAGTCAGAATAGGTAGTAGAATGGTACTGTGCCATGCCTTGTCAGTGTGTTGTAGTCAGAATAGGTAATAGAATGGTACGGGGCCATGGCTTGTCGGTGTGTTGTAGTCAGAATAGGTAGTAGAATGGTACTGTGCCATGCCTTGTCAGTGTGTTGTAGTCAGATAGGTAATAGAATGGTACGGTGCCATGCCTTGTCAGTGTGTTGTAGTCAGAATATGTAGTAGAATGGTACGGTGCCGTGCCTTGGCGGTGTGTTGTAGTCAGAATAGGTATAGGTATTAGAATGGTACTGTGCCATGCCTTGGCAGTGTGTTGTAGTCAGAATAGGTAGAAGAATGGTACGGTGCCATGCCTCGTCGGTGTGTTGTAGTCAGAATAGGTGGTAGAATGGTACAGTGGCATGCGGTAGGAGAATGGTACGGTGCCATGCCTTGTCGGTTTGTTGTAGTAGGATAGGTAATAGAATGGTACGGTGCCATGTCTTGTCAGTGTGTTGTAGTCAGAATAGGTAATAGAATGGTACGGTGCCATGTCTTGTCAGTGTGTTGTAGTCAGAATAGGTAGTAGAATGGTACGGTGCCGTGCCTTGTCGGTGTGTTGTAGTCAGAATAGGTAGTAGAATGGTACAGTGGCATGCGGTAGTAGAATGGTACGGTGCCATGCCTTGTCGGTGTGTTGTAGTCAGAGTAGGTAGTAGAATGGTATGGTTGCATGTCTCGTACTAATTAGTGTGTGATATGTAATGATATGGCGACTAACAACTAATCGTAAACATTGCACTAATTTGTTTGTACATAGTTTAGACATACTTAGTCACATGCTTTATTTGTGCTGTACAGTGTGTTACAAACATATCTTAGGAGAAAACAAAAGTTCCTTGGATCATCAGTATTTAATATTTGTTTATCACAGTTATTGTTGCTACATTATGATTTGCAAATAACTTTTTTTGTTTGAAAACTGAAAATCAATGATTTTTTTTTGTTATATATTGTATTGTATAGACTTACTTTGTTTACAAATTCCAAACTATATAGTACCGTATTTTCTTAATATCATTTGAAAATAGTTTTACTGGTCATTAAAATCATCGTATCATATTTCATTATCCCCCATCCTTTATGTTTTGAGTTTTTGTTGGAAGTCTATCTTGTTTTGTTAATTTTCTTTTTCTTTTAAGAAATAACCAAACACAGCCTAACAATGGTGTAACTTTATAAAGTTCAAAAGAATGCCAAAGATAAGAAGCACCATAATAAATAATTCTCTAAGTAAGAACCATCAAAAGCAACCAACTTTAGTGAACCATCAAAGTTAGGATAAAGTGCCATACTACTTTACGTATGTGTAATAAATGCTTAAGTTTGTGTCTGCTAAATGTACAAAGAACATGATAATGACTAACTCTCTTTCACTACTGTAGACCATAATGGACTCATCCAGATCAATGCATGGTAGAGTCAACTAAAGTTACATAGGGGTGAAAGGGCTAAACAAATGGCAAGTTACAGCCAGTCCAAGGTTGAATTTTACATCTTGAACAGCTTGCGTTTCCTACTGATAATGTATAGTTTAAAAAAAAATCTAAATCTGTTTTTTGTAAGAGATGACTGCTTTAAGAAGAGATTTCTTTTTGAAAATTATAGAACTTTTTAACAAATCAAACAAAGAATATGTAAAAAATTGAAGTCTTACGGTAGAATTTCAGAGTAAAACAAAATCATAAGCTGTCTGCTTGTTGTAAAATACCTTTTGAATGTATAAAACATATTTCAAAATCAATAGTTTTTTTTCTCCTGAAACCTTGTACTTTGTTATACCAGGGATGTGGCCTAGTTCTCCTAGCTGTGTAGCTGTGTATATACGTAGCTGCCCTCACTTAACACTGTGTAGATTTAATTTGATTGCTAGGTAAATGCTAGGTGATCAGAATAAGAACGTGTAGTACAGTGTAACACCCAGACTCCTACAGACACATCGGTGATGAGTGTATATATGCTTCCCCTCTGTGCATGTTTTTAGTTTGACTTAGAATGTTTCCTGGGTCGGGGTGTATCTTTGGACATTTTTTCCTACCTAACATTTTACCCGTTTTAGTCTCTTTTTCCTTCTTTCCCAAACTACTTCTGTTTGTACAGCTTTTCTATCAGACATTGGTCAATTCCTGTCCAATTTGAACCCTGAAGCTGATTTTTCTGTAAATTTATTGGAAACTTTCATTTTATCGTACCAAATTTACTGCATGTGTGTAAAAAAGAAGAAAGAAAAATAAAAACAAAAAAATGCAAAAAGTTCAGTTTGATGTAAAATGTTGCCAGTGCTACGAAACATCAGCTTCCTCTGCATGGTTCATCATCACCAAACACATTGTCATCATCATCATCACAATCATCGTACATGTAACCAAGGATTCTGCACTGCAGAGGTTGTGAGTGGTCGTTAACAGTTATAATTGTTTCCACGGTTACAGTATTATTTGATAAAACCTCTCCAGAATGGAACAGCGGGATTAAGGGGCGTCTAATCTTACAAGATGACGACGTGTCAACGAAGATAGAAGGAGAATATAAACGGCTCAATAACTGCTGCCACTACAAGGTACGTACCAAACTCACCAGCTTTTGTCAATTATCAAATTCCTTCAGGTCGGGAGATTTCTTTATCAGTCAAAGAGTAATTCCACTTTTTTGTTTCTAAAAAGGACTTATCAACTGGTCAGGTTTTGATGGCCAGGTTAACTTGTTAGCTTTTGATTGTCATGAGAGATACAGATAAGGTTTTGAAGGCCAAATATGAAACAGGTTCGATTTTAATGGCCATGTGAAATACAGGTTAGATTTAAAAGCCAAATGAGATAAATTATAGATTTTAATGGCCATGTGAGATATATAGTTAGATTTGTAAGGCCAAGTGAGATACATGTTAGCTTTTATGTCCATGTGAGATACAGGTTAGATTTTAATGGCCATGTGAGATACAGGTTAGATTTTAATGGCCATGTGAGATACAGGTTGGAATTTAATGGCCAATTGAGATACAGGTTAGAATTTAATGGTCATGTGAGATAGAGGTTAGCTTTTGATGGCCCTGTGAGATACAGGTTAGATTTTTCATGGCCATGTGAGATACAGGTTAGATTTAAAATGCCATGTGAGATACAGGTTAGATTTAAAATGCCATGTGAGATACAGGTTAGGTTTTAATGGCCAATTGAGGTACAGGTCAGATTTATAAGGTCAAATGAGATACAGGTTAGACTTATAAGGCCATGTGAGGTACAGGTTAGATTTATAAGGCCAATTGAGATACAGGTTAGATTTTAAAGGTCAAATGAGATACAGGTTAGATTTTAATGTCCCATGTGAGATACAGGTTAGGTTTTAATGGCCAATTGAGATACAGGTCAGATTTTAAAGGCAATTGAGATACAGGTTAGATTTTAATGTCCCATGTGAGATTCAGGTTAGATTTTAAAGGTCAATTGAGATACAGCTTAGATTTATAAGGCCATGTGAGATACAGGTTAGGTTTTTAATGACCAATTGAGATACAGGTCAGATTTTAAAGGCAATTGAGATACAGGTTAGATTTTAATGTCCCATGTGAGATTCAGGTTAGATTTTAAAGGTCAATTGAGATACAGCTTAGATTTATAAGGCCATGTGAGATGCAGGTTAGGTTTTAATGGCCAATTGAGATATAGGTTAGATTTTAATGGCCATGTGAGATACAGGTTAGATTTTGATGGCCATGTGAGATACAGGTTAGATTTTAATGTCCCAATAAAATACAGGTTAGATTTTTAAGGCCAATTGAGATACAGGTTAAATTTTAATGGCCATGTGAGATACAGGTGTCTTGTGGAAGAGAAGATAAAGTATCTTGTGGGGGAGAAGACAATATCAATAAAAAACATTGTATTTATGTTGTATGATTTATCTCCCTTTGACTGTATGATTGTCTCCCTTTGACTGTATGATTGTCTCCCTTTGACTGTATGATTGTCTCCTTTTGACTGTATGATTGTTTCCCTTTGACTGTATGATTGTCTCCCTTTGACTGTATGATTGTCTCCCTTTGACTATGATTTATCTCCCTTTGACTGTATGATTTTCTCCCTTTGACTGTATGATTGTCTCCATTTGACTGTATGATTTATCTTCCTCTTACTGTATGATTGTCTCCCTTTGACTGTATGATTGTCTCCCTTTGACTGTATGATTGTCTCCCTTTGACAGGTACCTGATGGTGCGTTCATGACGTTGGTGCCAAAACAGCCACAGTCCTACTATAACATGTCCCTCAACTCCAATGATAAATCTGGGTCCAAGCTGTACAGTGGTAAGTATTTGTCCTTTCTGTCCAAGTTACTGTGAATTAGGATGGTAAGTATTTGTCCTTTCTGTATAACTTACTGTGAATTAGGATGGTATGTATTTGTCCTTCCTGTCCAAGTTACTGTGAATTAGGATGGTAAGTATTTTTCCTTTCTGTCCAACTTACTGTGAATTAGGATGGTAAGTATTTGTCCTTCCTGTCCAAGTTATTGTGAATTAGGATAGTTAGTATTTGTCCTTCCTGTCCAAGTTACTGTGAATTAAGTATTTGTCCTTCCTGTCCAAGTTACTGTGAATTAGGATGGTATGTTTTTGTCCTTCCTGTCCAAGTTACTGTGAATTAGGATGGTTAGTTTTTGTCCTTCCTGTCCAAGTTACTGTGAATTAGGATGGTAAGTATTTGTCCTTCCTGTCCAAGTTACTGTGAATTAGGATGGTTAGTATTTGTCCTTCCTGTCCAAGTTACAGTGAATTAGGATGGTATGTTTTTGTCCTTCCTGTCCAAGTTACAGTGAATTAGGATGGTAAGTGTTTGTTCTTCTAGTCCAAGTGTCATTGATTTCTGTTAGTAGGAACATTTTCCAAATGTCAGGTCAAAACAGCAGAGAGTTTGATAGGTTTACTATACCGAGGTATTTATAAAGGGCCATGAGTACAGTAACTGTTAAACAGATGATCAAAGTTGGTTGGTTACTCATGATGAACAGCTTGAGATTACAGACGTTTTGGTGGTTTTTTTCCAGATCTCATTTACTCCAGAAGTCCATCCCTAAACCGAACTCCACAAGGTTTCCATGCCGACACGGACGGGAGTGGCTACAAGTATTACCACCTCGTCAAACAACACGATGCAGAAACCTTGAAGGAGGGAGATCGGGGCAGTAAGATGGTGTCAGAGATATATCTCACTAGACTTCTTGCCACTAAGGTACGCTTTCTCATTAGAACAATTTCACAAAATGAATTATCTCTCAAGCATATCTTACTATGTTGAGTTACTTTTACATGATTAGTGATAACAGAATTTAAACTGAAGCACTGAAACTGCAAGGTTGATTGTTTGTCAGAAGTTGTATATGTTTGTTTTCGCAATAATTTAATATTTTTGTGTAAAAGAATTGCGTGAACCAGCCACATGTGTACTGTTGTGTTTGTAGGGTACTCTTCAGCAGTTTGTGGATGACTTGTTTGAGAGGATATTCAGCACGAACCACAGATGTACCGCCCTTCCCCTTGCCATTAAGTACATGTTCGACTTCCTGGACGACCAAGCCCTGCAGCATGGTATACAGGACACTGAAGTTGTGCACACATGGAAATCCAACAGGTAACTATTTCTGTCACTTGATTTTATAAATTCAACAAGCTAATGAATATTCTAAAATAATCTCCCTGATCATGCATGCTTTCAGTGATTTGTGTGACAAGACAGGTGTGACACCATGTAAAGTTTGTAACTGCTTCCTGTGATTTGTGTGAAAATACGGGTGTGACACCTGGTCGAGAGTGACAAATGTGACACCTGGTCAAGAGTGACAAATGTGACACCTGGTTGAGAGTGACGAATGTGACACCAGGTCAAGTTTGTAACTGCTTCCAGTGATTGGTGTGAAAAGACAGGTGTGACACCTGGTCGATGCATCTCATGCGTAACTGTCTTTCTGTTGCAGTCTTCCACTAAGGTTCTGGGTTAATGTGATAAAGAACCCTAACTTTGTGTTTGACATCTACAAGTCCCCCATTGTTGATTCCTGTCTGTCGGTGGTGGCCCAGACATTCATGGACAGCTGCTCCATGTCTGAGCACCGCTTGGGTAAGGACTCGCCGTCCAGCAAGCTTCTGTATGCCAAGGACATCCCCAAGTACAAGAAGTGGGTGGAGAGATACTACCAGGACATCAAAATGATGCCCGCAATCAGTGACCAGGACATGACCGCCATGATGACCGACGAATCCAGGGTCAGTATATATATACAATAAAGCTACATGATGGCAAAGTCATGGAACCATAATTGTGTGATTTTTACTGTAGAACTATAGAACTTAATTATATTTCTGTTATTGGGATCAAAAATTTGGTGAAAAAAAAGTGATCATTTTACTTGCTGTCTGTTTGTTGATGCAAAAAGCAAAGTTGATACTTTTCTACAAGTATATATGTATGTAGGAAAAACGTGTTTTTGTGAAGTATGTTTTGGACGTGTTGGTCTCTGTTTCAGTGTCATCAGGATGAGTTCAACACTAGTGCAGCCCTCCTTGAGTTATATAAATATGTACAGAAATACAATGAGGAGGTAAGCATACAACAGTTGGACTCCCACGTCCTAACCCTAGGGATATGTATAGCAGCAAATTAAAAGCTTTCTAGGGATATATGTAGCATCTGGTTGTCAACTTTTCTAGGGATATACCATAAAAGAGGACAATCTTGAGTATGGAAATATTTGCATTGTTAACAGTTCAAAATGATAGTGGTGTGTAATTTATAATTTGATGTAATAAAATGTATAAATCTATGTATATCATGTGGGATGTTTTTGTATTCATTTCTTCAATGCGAAACAATTCCACTTTACAATGTGTGTAGCGTCAGGTTATATACCCTACCAGCTTTTTTTTATCTACAATGTTACTGATTTTCATTGCAGTTGTGGCAGGCTCTTGAAGAAGATGAATTTGCCAAGAAGAACCGCCTGACATACAAACTAGAGCAGGTTCGAATGACCATGGAGGCAGAAGTTTACTGCTGATACACATATCACACTCACAAAGGAGCTTTAATTTCATCATTTGTTACTATGCATACTTGGCTTTAATGCAAACATTGGTTAGATGGAGATCTGACTCTTGTGTTTAGTTTGTTTTGAAGTGCTGCTACTGCTGATGGTTACATATACCTCTTCAGGTCCATTTTTGTCGAATTTTCCTCTGTCGTCACACGTCAAGTGCTGTGAAATATATATCTATGTTTTTCTATTCCTCATCCCTGTTGGAGTAAAAGTGAGTGCCATTTACTTAGGAGACGTGTATACCAATAATGAAATTTGGTGTCATCTACCTTGGAAAATTCTACGTCTGTATAAATGAAGCTGAGTTTTCGCCTCCTGTTACCTGCCATCCACACAAGACGAATCTCTGTATGCTGTCTATGTCTGCGCGTGGTGCTTGACCAGCTGGTTCCCACATCTGGTTCCAGCACTTGTTGTTGATAGCAAAACTGTCCCAGTAAAACCAATGAAGTGGCATTTTTGTGATTAACTAAGAACTGTCTGATTGCCATTTTGATGTAAACATAAGCGTCCAAACATTGTTTGTACTCACACACTGAGACTTGTTTACAAGAGCAGCGAGACTGGTTCATTGAACCACTGGGCTTGTTTACAGAGCAGTGTTACAAGTTCACAAAGCAACAAGACTGGTTCATCAAACCACAGGGCAGTGAGACTGGTTCATTGAACGATGGGACTAGTTCACAGAGCAGTGCATCTGGTTCACAGAGCAGTGCATCTGGTTCACAGAGCAGAAAGACTGATTCATAGAACAGCAATACTTGTTCATAGAACAGTGCAACTGGTTTGCAGTATAGTGAGATTGGTTCACAGAACTGGTTCACTGACGGAGATGACAGGACATGCATGTGTTCATTGACATACTACATAGCTGGTGTATCATACCAGAACTATTTGTATGTAAAAATTTTATGTGTTTAATCCATACAACTATTTTTAACTATAAATAATATTTACCTGTAAGTATATAAAATCAGCTGATTACATATTTTCGTATCACACCTTGCTGTAGGCAGGGATAGTGTGTCATCTTTATAACGATTATAGCCAGAATTTAATACTTCGTAAAAACATTACACAAACTGTAGTTGGTATTTAACTAGTTTCTGTATTGAAATTTAATTTCCTTGAATTTGACAATTGGTTGTAAATGCAGTATTCCTTCCAAATGTGAACTGTTTTGAAATTTTTAAAAAAGGAAGAACATTTTAGATTTAAAATAAAGATGTATTAAGGTTACCTTTATTTATAACCATGAACATTTTAGCATATATTCACCTCCATTATTTATGTCAAGATGTAGGACACACGCTCATGTACATAATAACATTGCATATATCATTAGGGCTACTTGCTAGGAGAGTATAGTAGATAAAGTTTCTTTGTGCCAAAAGTATCATTATCCATTCAACCCTCTGCTAATACAATTAACACTGAGAATACCCGTTAAAATGGTATACCTTACTTGCCATAGATTTGTTCTCTATGCATATATGTACAATCAGTATATGTGTAATTATGCTGTTTATTGGTGGTCTTAGATAGTCTGGCCTAGATTTGTAATTACAATAAAACCCTTATCATCTCAAAATGTGTCCATCAAAATGATCCGCCTCATGTATGGCTGCATGCTTCTTCAGTATCTGGTGTTATCAGACGAGTGAATTGGGTAGGGATGCTTACTACAATCTTGATACACATGTCACAATAACCCACCAGAAAGTGTAAACACATACCCAGTTGTCACCCTAGATAACCCACCAGACACCAAAAGTGTTGATATGTACCCAGTAACCACACCCCTAGATAACCCACCAGACACCAAAAGTGTTGACATGTACCCAGTAACCGCACCCCTAGATAACCCACCAGACACCAAAAGTGTTGACATGTACCCATGCAGTAATTGCACCCCTAGATAACCCACCAGTCATCAAAAGTATTGACATTTACCCAGTAACCGCACCCCTAGATAACCCACCAGACTTTAAAAGTATTGACTTGTACCCAGTAACCGCACCCCTGGATAACCCACCAGACTTTAAAAGTATTGACTTGTACCCAATAACCGCACCCCTAGATAACCCACCAGACTTTAAAAGTATTGACTTGTCCCCAGTAACCGCACCCCTAGATAACCCACCAGACTTTAAAAGTATTAACATGTACCCAGTAACCGCACCCCTAGATAACCCACCAGACTTTAAAAGTATTGACTTGTACCCAGTAACCGCCCCCCTGGATAACCCACCAGACTTTAAAAGTATTGACTTGTACCCAGTAACCACACCCCTAGATAACCCATCAGACTTTAAAAATATTGACATGTACCCAGTAACCTCACCCCTAGATAACCCACCAGACTTTAAAAGTATTGACTTGTACCCAGTAACCATACCACAAGAAAAACCTACCAGACTTTAAAAGTGTTGAGATATTCCCTAAAAATACACTATGATTAACCCTCAAAATTTGTTTGACAGATGTACAAACCCAGAAACTGCAACCCTAGACAAACGTGCCAGACTGAAAAATTGTTGATACAAAGCAAGTTACCACACCCCTTGATAAACCCACCAGGCTTATACACATTAGCTACTTCCCTAGCCTACCCTACTTAAACCAACCAGTCTTAGAAAGTGATGACATATTGCAAGTAACTACACCTCGTAGTTAAACCCACCAGACTTAGAAAGTGTTGATACATACCCAGAAACTAAACCCTTAGATAAACGATAAACCCACCAAATATTAGAACCAACGACTACTGGTTGTTTATCAAGGATATTTTAATTTAACAACAGATGAAATTATGTGATTTACATGCATACATTAACTGTAATTGAGTGATTTTGAGTAATCACTGAAACCTAGGTAACATGTATGAATGTTTTTTACAACAAATATGTTATGCTCATATATTTACCTTTAAGATTTTAAATGTCGAGATGTGCAAGGTTGTGCTAGTCAAAGTCATGTTATGTAATCGTGCTGTATCTTGTAATTTGGGACATTGTGACGTTTCATAGGTCACTTTTTCACATGTCCGAGTAGAACCCTTGTAAGTCTGCATATTTTTTTGTTTATATATCTACATGAACCATATGTTGTCAATACAACTTTTAATATAGATATTAAAATATTAGTTGTTGAGTGTAGAGGTTTTACAGTAACACAATATATTATCCAAAACCACTCGTAAAAAAATAAGAGCGTTTAAAATTATTTATACTTCCCTAAAGTTCTTCCGTTAATCTTCCAGAGGTGAGAAATTTTATACTGCGAGCTTCCATACAGTTATCTCCCTTACTGATGCTATATAAGACAGTGTTACCTCCCTTTATTTATAATCTGACAGAGTTACCTCCCTTACTGTTGCTTTGTGACAGTGTTACCTCCCCTACAGTTGTTATGTGACAGTTTTAAGAAAAAGACCAGTGCAATTTTTACTGTAACCAGCTCTGAACATTTTCAAATGTTAAACTGGATTATTTTTTTCTGATTTTATTTGACAGAAACAAACAAATTATCACTGAAAACTAAAACCTTTATAATGACCATGATATAAGTTTTTTTCTATAAAATGATATTAGATTGTGCTGTCATAGTTACAAACCTAACATTAATCACTTAAATGTTAATGAATTTGGTGATTAATTTGATGTTTTCACAAATCGAAAGCACAAGGGAAAACTATAAAAAGTATTCATCCCATGAGTTAAAATGTGAGCAATATAGAAACATGAATTTTTTGTTACATATGCAGAGATAGTGTGGACTGAAGTTCAACAACTCATCAACGGTTTGTCAAATAATGGTGCACAAGATAATTTTACTATGACATCACAATAAAATCATGAGAATGTTCCCCCACCCCCAGAAAATTCAGTTCTGTGATTGGTCAATTACCATAAAAAAAAAATATACAAAAAGAAATATTTTACACATTTTAAATATATGTTAACTTGATTAGGAAGTGAAACTTTTAATTGATTTAGATTCAATTTCATTCTCATAGGGTCCAGACACATGTCTTATTGCTTGGCTCAAGGGTTTTGAGGAATGAGAATTTATTTTGACTCTTAAAAAGGAGGTTGTATGTTCTGATTAATTGAATTAGTTATTAGAGTTCTACCAAGCGCGATTTGATGTTATGCCAAACCAGAGTAACTGTCATTATTTTATATGATTTGTTATAATAGTGACATATTGAGAAGTATTATAGACTGCTTTAAAAAGAGTGTCACCCCTAAATTGTGTAGTCATTTTGATCATTTCACTTCAAGCTTTTTTTGTCAGTTAGGTTAATGGAGTAAGAAACATTGAATAGGAAGTGTAGGGAAATGTCTTATTTTTATATTGTATGGTTTAGCACTTAAATTTTCTGATGTAAAGACAGTTTGTCGATAACGGATTATGTCCCAGATTGTTGTAAAAATCGGATTCCATTATCATTTGTTTGTCCTTATTTGTTTGTTTTTGGAAATATTTGCATTGTGAATTTGTCACTGAAAAAAACCCTAAACAAAATCCACGATTGATGAACTTTTTTGTGATAATATGTATAGGTATATATTTTGTGTTTCTTTTTTTTTCAGTTACTGTTTCCGTAGGGTTTATTCTATTGTGTGACATTAGCTATGCAGGATTATCTCCTAGTCCCTCACGTGGTACATCAGTGGTCGTATTAACATTCTCATTGTGTATAAAGTGTACACACGAAAAGTGCATTATAGCCGATATCTAAATCATGTAAATATCACACTGTACAAACCTATTATTGAATTTAGATATATTATGATTAAGATTATTGTATGGGTATACTGTGAAACGAAAAACCAAAGATGGATGTGTGAGATATAGAAGGTTAGTTATTACTGTCGGGTTATATCCTGGTGTAGCCACGGGGATTTTGTGTATGGTTGTAGAGAGTAGAGTGTGTGTTATCAATCTTTGGATACGATTCATCACTTTGTTGCATCATTTTGCGTAAAAAATAAATAAGATAATCCGTAAATAGATGATTAGCAATGCTAGGTTTTAGGTTTATTTGTACAGCTGTATTACGATCTCCACACAACGTGGCTTTTAGTTCCTCCACCGATTCCATTTGAGACCAGAGGGTCAGCTGACACTGTAAGGAGTTGTTTGGCGTAGATTTTAGACTAGCTTTAGGCTTCAGATCTAGATAGCTTGTGATTTTTGGTATGTCAGGTATTTTAAGTTTCAGCAAATTTTATGAGCTCTTCATAAAACAATGTGGCATATGTTTAGAACGTTGGAATAGTTTCTGTTCTCTGTCGTGGTAGAGGTCACATCTCAAGGTTAAATAATCTACGTTGGCTATGCAACTTTTTTCATTTATATCATTTACATGCGGTTGATATTTAAATACAAATTTTTCATTTGTATAAATGTATTTATATATATATATATATGGGAAGGTTTGTGTGTTGGCTATGGAATCTACTGTTCCAAGTAAATTAAGACACACAATATGGGGATTGTGTGTTAGGGAGTCAGGTCACCCTCATTGGTATGACAGAATGGGTGTAGCGTGTGTGACGAGTGTGTGTGAGAGTGAGGACTTCAGGTATATGGGCTGACACACATGTGAGAGATAGGCGCGTGTGATAACTTGAATGAAATTGATAATGTATGCATGAGATTTTATACAATTTTTGATACAGTGATTTAGATGTGCATCTTCTTAAAGCTAAGAAAAAAATATTTAAAAAAAAAAATGAAATAAAACATTACTGCAAGTGAACTTAAGTGTTTTTTCTTTTATTTGATTGTTGTTTAAATAGTGGATGAGAACTACGATCATTTTTCTGTGACCTCAATTTTGTCACTTCTTTTAACAAATGTTTTATCAAAGATCTCCTCAGTGACAGGAAACAGTCAGGATAGGTAAAGAAAGAAATCTGGAATCCCCCAGGTGTCCGTTATTAGACCCCGTTTCTTTCTTTAACATTGTGCCCTACAGAAATGGAGTTTGTTATGTAATTAATGTTCATGTGTCTGTTAACCTAATCCTGTGACTGGTACTAATCCTAGTTTTTGACCCAATCTTTTGCGGTTGGTGTGTGTGATGTGAATCATGTATCATGAAGATTCACATATCCTAAAATGGGAAAGCTGATTGTGATCCTTTATAACACAATAACACATTAGGACTGGTCATCAGGTAAATCTTGTCGGAAGGACTTGGTCCAACCACTGGACTTAGATAGCAGGGATTGGCAACACCTCTTTCATTTCGCTATGTATTGTCACAGACTTTAATCTGTGGTCCAACCAGTTGTTTGCTGGGGTCATTGCGCCATTAATTTTTCTCCTTAAACCTTTCCTCCAACCCCAACTTTATATCGTAAATCTGTACCTCTATCTTCTATATAGGTTATATGTTTGGCTACCTGACCTGACAGGATCTTCATGCACCATACTGAAGTTGGTCACCACACATTAACTCTACATTCACAGCTCTGGCTCATGAGTTGGGGGAGCAGCACATATCAATTTCTGATAAACAGATTTGTGGGGATTTCAAAAAGGATGACCTCAGCTGTAACATCTATATATATTATCTGGAAGTAGAAAATACAGACTTTAGCCCCAGCCGATCCTTATCCAGTGTATACACTGTAGGAAGAAACAGTCATAGAAAGGTGCATGGCTGAAAGTGCAGTGACCATGGAACCACAAGAGCAACACTAAAATAGCAGATAATATCCAGTGGATTAACCCACCTATTATGTTATGATATATATTGCTTATTATGATGTTTCATGTACCGATTTTTTCCTTCTAAGCCAACTAAATCCTTTATTAGGATATGGTCAAAGGTGGGACCCCACTTATTTTTTTCTTTTTCTGCCGTGAATCTATCTATATGTTATACTCAACAGAGACCAAAATAGCTTTAATGCGGAGGGGGTATGGATTTTGTAAGGTAAATTGTCCGTATGAAACACCTGGACAATCAGCAATAATTATGTCCGGCTAACTGTTGGTGTCAGACGATTCGCCCCAAGCTGTTACGCCGCAAATTTGATTCATATCGCCCCAACCAGTTTCCCCCCAAAAAGCATAACGCCCCAATAAACTACAACACCCCAAAAATATCCTCCATAAAATTAACTTATTTGACAAATTTTAAAGTAAAATATGTACTTTTTATGGAATATTCTTAAAGATAGACATTCAAAAAATAAAATCTGTTGCAATTCGTTTGATGTTCGGGACATACTTTTTGTGTCGTAACGTTAGATCGATATCGTAACATATCTATTGTATCTATGTTAGGCAGGATTTGTTTATTGTAGATAATACATATATGTATACAATAATTAGTTTATATACACGCGTGCCGTAGATCGATATCGTAACATATCTATTGTATCTATGTTAGGCAGGATTTGTCTATTGTAGATAATACATATATGTATACAATAATTAGTTTATATACACGCGTGCCGTAGATCGATATCGTAACAAACCTATAGTATCTATGTTAGGCAGGATTTGTTTATTGTAGATAATACATATATGTATACAATAATTAGTTTATATACACGCGTGCCGTAGATCGATATCGTAACATATCTATAGTATCTATGTTAGGCAGGATTTGTCTATTGTAGATAAAATATATATGTATAAAATAATTAGATTTTATGGTTAAATCATACACGCGTGCCGTAGATTTACTTCTTTTTCAGCATAAGTAATTTAATTTTTACTAATTAAAAGAAATAACTATAAAAAATCAATCTATTACTTGTTCTGCCAAGTTACATTCTTCCATGGACTTAAATAGCATATAATCGAATTCAATGATTCTACATTTCAAACCAACTTTATCATTTTCGTTCTTCATCGTGGAAAATTTGAAATAGCTGACATTCATGCTGATATCTCAATATGTTTAGGGTAAGGACAGTATTTTTGCTTATCTACTGATGAATCCCGGGCAAAAATGCCTTTTGTGTAATATGAAGGGCAGAAACTTAATTGGCATATCATTCGACATATCTTTTACTTTTCACAAATTGTCTGACGATCTCTTTCATCAACATGCGAACTGATCACTCATCAAAACAATTAAAGTTTAAAAAAAATTACACGAACATTGAACCAAGTATAAATGTAAAAAGAAATGTACCAATTTGAGTCTTGAGGTTACGTGTTCCTAATCATTAATATTAAGTGAAACTGCCAATAACTACCGCCACCTTCACAAGATTTTGCAGCGGTTGGGGCGATGTAGCTTGAGGGGCAACGGGTTTGGGGCGAAACGTCTGTAATTCGCTAACTGTACATCGCCCGCGGTGATCACCTAGCTGTCCACTCCAGGTAAATTTTTCACACCTCGCTTCACCCCGGTCAGTGGAAAACAATAGATCGACCATCGCTTGCAGGTCATACATGTTAGTCTTAACAAAACATGTGGTTCAGTTAATTGCTCTCTAAAATACACTGTATGATTGTGTATCAAATTGAAATTATTAGGCCTACCGATATTTTCTAATACAAATTCTGAAAGTTGCCTTTCACAACTATTCACGGTTACCTTGGCACGTCATGTGAGAAAATCATGCCGGTTTCAATGAAAATATTACTTCAGAAGGAAGACGTGCGTTTTTAATAATTTAGGCAATAGTTTCTCTATTGCATTAGAAGTTGATCTCCCCGGCCCGTGTCTGCGTTGAAAAAGTGTCAAAATCAGGACATACAGCCCTGACAGCATGGTGACGGAAATCGATCCAAAGTTAACGTTGTTGACGTAAACAACTGACGACGGCTGCTTTACAATATTTGATTATTGTTAAAGGTCATATTTTGTGTTTTTGACTTTTATTGTTTCTTTGCAAGTTGATTTCACCGCACGACTTGCGAGGCATATGCATGTGATTGTGACGCTGTCATATTTGACATAGCGCGGCAAACTATTTTTACGCTTATGCGGGGACAAAATGTAACGCAACTTCTCGTTGCAAAATAGGTAAATCATGACCATCTATATCACTTCTTTCATCCTATTGACTGTACCATTACGATATCGTTAGCTAGGATATAGAATAAAGATAGTTCTGAGGAATATGCTCGAAGTTATTTGAAAGTGAAAGTAGAATTTACATACAGATCATTACGACGGCAAAATGAAATCTTCTCGAATTTTTCCAACACGCCGACAATTTACAAATTATTTCAATTATTACTTTATTTATATTATTCCATTTTTCCACAGCAATGTATGTCTGATCCACTACACATCCCTGTTATGATATATCGGTTATATTATGATATTTTTCTCTTAACACGCGGGTTCCACTGTAGCTCTTAACGTGGGAAACCGTGTCATAGAGCAATTCGAATCCCAAACAGAAACAATAAAAGCAGCTTTTTTCAGCTATATATTCATCTTAACTAAAGTTTTTTGCATGCGATAATAGATCGGATCACAACCAGACACAAAACAGCTGAGAAATCCAGTCACTGACAAAGAAAGAATAACCATACAGTACACCCGCCGGCGAGATCATGATAAGAAACCTGAACAGGACGACGATGTGAAAGATCAACTCAACAAAGCTAGAAAAGAACACCAACATGGTCTTAAGTAACAAAAAAGGGCGAATTTCCCGTCAACTAGTGACGTATGCCAACGATATCGTCAAGGAAGTACATGTAGATGTTAACGCAGTCAAGGCAAATAAAGGGCTGATGATCCGTCAGACGTCTGTACGTAGGTTTGCAGAGAAAGACTGGGGTATAGGTTTACATGGTGAGATACAGGAAGATCGCAGTCAGGAATATATCAATGTCTTTTGTAATAACAAACGGGAAAACTTTACTATGAGAAACTATTGCGGTATCAGAGGAATACTAGCAGCAATATGAGGGAAAGGTTGATGTCTGCTGCATTATGACCAGAAACAAGAGTAAACCTATCAAGTTAGAAGTACACCAAAAGATGATTAGTTTAGAAGAACAAAATTATATATACCTACAAAGAATGACATACAAATAATAAAGAGCTAGTTTTGTACTGTAAGAGCCGAGGGATCGATTAGTGAAACATAATTTAGTTAAGGAAAACAGAGAGAGCACATCATAACTTTATCAAGGGGAGGAGAAAGTGGAGCGGCGAAATGGAAATGATTGCAGGAAATATGATTGGCGAAGACGCAGTGTTTCAGTCTTACTTAAAGAACTACTTGAACGAACACGTTTTCTTGACTTTCAATATGTCGCCGAGTTTTGCCATCAGACTAGGTCCTTTCCAAACCTTGCAAGGAACATGATACGAACCGCGAATTGCGGAGAATTTCGACAAACATTCTAAACGACTACTAGTGTGTCGGTTGAGCGATGTTTGGTGGAAAGTCACTCCAATCCACATTATCACAGGTAAGGATGGCATTTGTGTTGCATAAATGGAACAGGCGCGAAGCTTGACTGCCTTGGAATGTTGGTTACGCCCGAGCCTTCTCGATGTCCTTCATATGTCTTCCTTCAAGACAACCAATCACCGGTCTGTTTATAGTGGTAAGTCCTGCTATCTTCTCCTCTTACTTACAGGCTTCCGTAGAACCAATCTGATTAAAATCATATGTTACATCATACATGGCTTCGTTAACTTCGTACTACGCCTGAACATCTGAGTGTGCCGCGGTCAGGGTCACACGCTTCATATTGCTTTCCATGGCATTACCTAACTTTTGGTCTTAGTGTTAAAATTTCACGATCGCCCAATTGTGGATTGCGACGGTTTCTGGTCCAATTCCGGGACATATGAAAGTCCTTTAAGTGGCAGTTGTTAATCCCTGCTAAACGTTCAGCAGAGTTAACACTGACTTAAAAAAACATTCATTAACCTAAAACACAGACCACCAACCTAAAACACCAACCACTGACCTAAAACACAGATCACTGACCTAAAACACCAACCACTGACCTAAAACACCGACCACTGACCTAAACCTACGACCTCTGACCTAATACATGGACCACTGACATAAAACACTGACCTCTGACCTAAAACACCGACCACCGACCTAATACACAGACCACTGACCTAAACCTACGACCTCTGACCTAATACATGGACCACTGACCTAAAACACAGACCTCTGACCTAAAACACCAACCACTGACCTAAAACACAGACCACTGACCTAATATACAGACCACCGACCTAATACACAGACCACTTACCTTTTTTTTATATATATAATAGTGGTAAGTCATGCTACCTCCACTTCTTACTTAAAGGCTTCCGCGGAACCCTTGCAGACTCGGGGGTTTTTCTTCTGTGTCCTGTTCTAAAGTGTCATTGGAGATATCAAAATTGACCTACTGCACCCATTGCAACATTTATGATCTTGATATTTTCCCTCTAATTTTCTAACAACCTTTCTGTTTCCTATTGTTTTCCATGGCATTACCCCACTTTTGGTATTAGTGTTGAAAATTCGCGATCGCCCAAGTGTGGATTGCGACGGGTTGTCCCCATTCCGGGACATACGAACGTCCTAAAGTGGTAGTTGTTATTCCCTGCTTAACGTTCAGCAGAGTTAACACTGACTTAAAACAGCATTCATTAACCTAAAAACAGACCACCAACCTAAATCACCAACCACTGACCTAAAACACCGACCTCTGACCTAAAACACCATCCACTGACCTACAACACTGACCTCTGACCTAAAAACAGACCACCAACCTAAATCACCAACCACTGACCTAAAACACCGACCTCTGACCTAAAACACCATCCACTGACCTATAACACTGACCTCTGACCTAAAACACAGACCACCAACCTAAAACACCAACCACTGACCTAAAACACAGACCATCAACCTAAAACACCATTCATTAACCTAAAACACAGACCACCAACCTAAAACACCATCCACTGACCTACAACACTGACCTCTGACCTAATACACAGACCACTGACCTAAAACACCAACCACTGACCTAAAACACAGACCATCAACCTAAAACCCAGACCACTGACCTAAAACACAGACCATCAACCTAAAACACCATCCACTGACCTAAAACACCGACCTCCGACCTAATACACAGACCACTGACCTAAAACACCAACCTCTGACCTAAAATACAGACAATTGATCTAAAACACAAACCATTTATCCAACACACTCGGACCATCGACCTACTAAGTAATTCCACACGTGCAGTCTTAGCGAAAGCGAAAGAGAAAGTGACAATTATTAAAATCATCAGACAATTTTGATCATAATAAAATTTTATTAAAATTTAAAACAGAAATAGAAAACGTATGAAGAAATAGCCATGAAGTATTTAGAAATAACTTTGAGGTTATGACAATCACATTCATGCTGTACATCCGGGGTAACAGTAAACACTGTAATCAATTCACAACGGCGTTATCGCAATGTAGTCCCTCCCTCTACCTGTCAGATATATAACGTCATAGGTAAGGGTATTTGGAAATACTTGATGACCTGCGTGACATAAGTAGTGTCGTCGAATGTTTGGAACAGTATTACAGGAAAAACAGACGTTTTTTGTTGTTTTATTTAAGATCTACACAGAAAAATGAAGAGGATCAACGTTGCTAGTTTGATCCTATTTATCTTGGTATTGTTTCTAAGTTCAGGTAAGTTCATGTATTTTATCTATAGATAGACACTCTCTGGGACTCAGTGAAACTCGTCGACATGTTTTATCAATCTAGTATTATGACTTAGATACTATCAGACAAATACCTTTGCAACTAGTATGATTGTATGGTGTATTGAGCAGTAAAATGTACCGACCATAGTTGTATATTGACCAGTGTGACCTACTAACCATGCAGTGTCCAGTATTGACCAATAGTTGTATATTGACCAGTGTGACCTTCTAACCATGTAGTGTCCAGTATTGACCAATAGTTGTATATTGACCAGTGTGACCTACTAACCATGCAGTGTCCAGTATTGACCAATATGGTGAATCCCCTGTGTTTCTTACGAACAGTGTGGTGTATGACCCATGAGACCTACTGACCAGTGTGGTGTATGACCCATGAGACCTACTGACCAGTGTGGTGTATGACCAGTGTTACTTAATTACCAGTGTGGTGCATGACCCATGAGACCTACTGACCAGTGTGGTGTATGACCAGTGCTACTTAAATACCAGTGTGGTGTATGACCAGTGTTACTTAAATACCAGTGTGGTGCATGACCCATGAGACCTACTGACCAGTGTGGTGTATGGCTAGTGTGATTGAGTGACCAGTACAAGCTTAAATGACCAGTGTAAGGAACAAAATTGATGCAACAATTTGTTTCATTAAAGGTTTATGATTAACTCATCCACCCCTGAAGACATATTTGAACTATTCCAATTCAAAGGTTGGAATAGTTCATTATGAAAATTCAGGGGTGAATGAGTTAATGACAATATCACCCACGCATTGATTCTATGGACATTTCGTGAGTGTTATAAACAACGATGTTTTGATATATGAAGATACCAGGTATCATGCATATACAATTTACCTGGGAGTTACAAGACGTCAATGGCGAAATCGTGAGACGTCTAGCCATCGTGGTTCATAGAAAACTTGTTCTGTAAAGATTAAACATGTTAAATATTTAAACGAGTGAATGAAATGAAATGAAATGAACGAAGGCGGAAGCATGGGTTAATGGGTGTGGCATACCCATGTTTTAACGACACATACACGATCGTTGACGTTCTCTTGATCTGATCAAAATAATATCCTCATAATACAGTCACCTACCCGGGTTCCTGATGTCGGAGTCAGATAAGTGGCCGTTAACAGGTCGAGGTATATATAACCTCTACTTACCCATCAAACACTCGGTGTAACTAATTATATGTTCGTACCTTTATTTATTAATTAATGAAACAACATTTTTTTCTGATTCCAATATCGATTTATAATATTCCGAATAAACATATGTCCGATCGATGTTATGTCAAAATATTGACTTAAGGAGATAAGTCACAGATAGGTCATACGAGTCTATGATGAGCACATATTAAATCCTCTAATCGTATAGTGCAAAATAAACAATCGACACATGTGTAGTGTAAACTCAACATAGTAAACCCTACACACGTATAGTTTAAAGTAGACACACATGCACCAAATACAGTTTATCCCTTTTTACATACATGTAAATAGCATATCCATAAGTGTATGCAATATACAAAAACGTGTTCAGGGATGAGAATGACGGCATTAAGGACGAGAATTATTATTACGTTTTTTTCTAATTTTAACAACAGAAATATACACCCATGATCTGAAACTAAAAATTGAATTCACTAATAATACATGTATACACCATACAATGTTCCCATACACTGACCATTTACTATCTGATGTTAAAACGACCGTTTATTAGAATGAAATTGAAATATGTAATATTTGAAGAATCTTTAATGTAAACGATAACACATACCAGATACTCTCATATTTATGTTGTCTGTATCAATCGTCTACCTGGACATGTAAATATAATACAAAACAAACTTCTGAGATGATAAAGAAGATCAAAGTAGATAAGCAACATGGCTTAAAACGGGGCTACTCTGAAACACTGACAATTTTTATCTCAAAATCATTCCTATATGTAAGGTAAGTATTGTTACACAATACAAACCAACAGTGTTAACAATAAACCCATATTTCCCCGTATAAATATCTTGTCTAAAATGAACAGTATACACCCAGCAAACAAACTTGTTTAAACTATACACATACATTTATTAGACCCTCCAAATATATTACATTGTGTATCTCAAATACATGATATTACACTCTACAAACGATTTAACTAAAATAAACACATATTTACACCCTAACAATACCTGGTATAAAATAAACATATTTAATATTTGTCAAACGCAAAGCCTAAAATATATTCATATATATCGGTAGACCCAAACAAAAATCTGGACTAAAATAAAGACATGTAACACTCTACAATAATATATTGTCTGAAAGAATAACATACAACTCCCTACAAAAGTACAGTTTAAAAATCATAGATAATACACTTCAACCGGTAAGCATTGGAAACACTACATATAACACCCTACTCACGTCTAGACTGAACACCCACACATTCAACCTTACAAGCGGTTAGATTAAACATAAACCCACATACAGTACAGTCTGTCTATAAAATAAGCACATTTTACATCCTACAAACGTATTATATAACATAACCACGCATTTTAACCCTGCAAACGTTTTGTCTAGAATAAAACACCCGACAAATGTTATGTGAAAAATTAAGACATTTTACACTCTAAAAAAGGAAACAAATATAACATATAAAGATCACATTAACACTATAAAACATTGAGGCTAAAACACTTAGTCACCCTAATAACCTAACATACATCCTACTTACATATGGTCTATATATGTCACATATAACGCCTAGCAACCATTTAGTCTAAAACACTTAATCACCCTACTAACTTAAGGTCTAAAAATATCGCATATAACGCCCTTCAAACATTCAGTCTAAAACACATACACACCCTACAAAGATATGGCCAAAAATATCACATAATCACCATACAACATCTAGTCTACAACACATATATGTCACATATAACGCCTAACAACCATTTAGTCTAAAACACATACACACTCTAGTACTCTACTAACATATTAGGAATATCACATAACCACATACAACATTTAGTCTAAAACACATTTGTATACACACTAACATATCGTCTAAATATCACATAACACATATACACACTGCTAATATATGGTCTAAATATCACATAACACATATACACACTACTAACATATTGTCTAAATATCACATAACACATATACACACTACTAACATATGGTCTAAATATCACATTACACATATACACACTACTAACATCTGGTCTTAATATCACATAACACATATACACACTGCTAATATATGGTCTAAATATAACATAACACATATACACACTACTAACATATGGTCTAAATATCACATATCACATATACACACTACTAACATCTGGTCTAAATATCACATAACACATATACACACTGCTAATATATGGTCTAAATATCACATAACACATATACACGCTACTAACATATGGTCTAAATAACACATAACACATATACACACTACTAACATATGGACTAAATATCACATAACACATATACACACTACTACCATATGGTCTAAATAACACATAACACATATACACACTACTAACATATGGACTAAATATCACATAACACATATACACACTACTAACATCTGGTCTAAATATCACATAACACATATACACACTACTAACATATGGACTAAATATCACATAACACATATACACACTACTAAAATATGGTCTTAATATCACATAACACATATACACACTACTAACATATGGACTAAATATCACATAACACATATACACACTACTACCATATGGTCTAAATAACACATAACACATATACACACTACTAACATATGGTCTTACTATCACATAACACATATACACACTACTAACATCTGGTATTAATATCACATAACACATATACACACTACTAACATATGGACTAAATATCACATAACACATATACACACTACTAACATCTGGTATTAATATCACATAACACATATACACACTACTAACATATGGTCTAAATATCACATTACACATATACACACTACTAACATCTGGTCTTAATATCACATAACACATATGCACACTACTAACATATGGTCTTAATATCACATAACACATATACACACTGCTAATATATGGTCTAAATATAACATAACACATATACACACTACTAACATATGGTCTAAATATCACATTACACATATACACACTACTAACATCTGGTCTTAATATCACATAACACATATACACACTGCTAATATATGGTCTAAATATAACATAACACATATACACACTACTAACATATGGTCTAAATATCGCATAACACATATACACACTACTAACATATGGTCTTACTATCACATAACACATATACACACTACTAACATCTGGTCTAAATATCACATAACACATATACACACTGCTAATATATGGTCTAAATATAACATAACACATATACACACTACTAACATATGGTCTTAATATCACATACCACATATACACACTGCTAATATATGGTCTAAATATCACATAACACATATACACGCTACTAACATATGGTCTAAATATCACATAACACATATACACGCTACTAACATATGGTCTAAATAACACATAACACATATACACACTACTAACATATGGTCTAAATATCACATAACACATATACACGCTACTAACATATGGAAAACAAACAAAAAGTAAAACAGATGAGGCAATTTTTAGAGTCGATATTCCGGTAAAGTATAGATTTTCCTTCCTTAGGAATGCAAGTATTCATATCACGGCACTGTGAAATTAAATTGACCATCTACATACGCCTTATTTAAATATATATATAAAATAAATCTGCATATTTGCCCCGAAACAAAACTATAATATTGAACAGTGAATCTACCAATACGAGTTTAAAATCATTCATTCTTTCATACGTATATTTCATTAATTCCAATAACGATAATATCTATTTTGATTAAATTGATATATTAAAATACATCAACAATTCCTTCTTTAAATATTCAAATATTGAAAGTATTTTTATATTTATAAATTCATTTATATGCCAAAAATTCTGCTTTATTGATTTGGGATTGCCATATTGTCCTAAAATTTAGATAAAACCGAATTCATGTACTTTGAATGATGTTGTTTTTCATGTGTAATTTGGATTAGTTTAAGAAGGAATGTCTGGGGAAATAAAAAAAAAAAGAGTACACATACTATTGTACCTAGCAATTTAGACTTATATACATAAACACAAAAACATAAACAGTGTACAAATTATGTATTCATAAATACATCATACACACACTCGAAATGACAAATATATTACTTGAGTCATACATATATACCACACATAATTGTACACACATACACTCGTACCCATACACACACATCCTCGCATGCCTGACAGCATATAGATATTGCAAACATTCTTTATATTAAGACATTACTATGTGGATACATCCATCCTTTCTATTACAATGAATACTTATATATTTACCATGCCATTTGGGTCTACACATACACATAAACCAATGAACATACTTATCAACATATTTACAATAATGACTGATAATGACTTTTAAAATAACTCTTTTGGGAAAGTTTATATATGTTAACCAGTGACAATATAATATTTTTATACTATGTTTTGTGATATGGACTTAGAGGCTTTCAGCCTGCGTCCATTAATTTTCAATTAAATTCAATTAAATTTAACATAGCATATACACAAGACATATATAATACATACATGTACGCCTGTTATTTACTTGAATACCAAAACTCTTTCTTCATGTTTTAATTAATTCTTTACGGGTTGTAAGTTTACCCGGATATGCAGTTGATATTAAAAGCTTTTTTCTTAAATATTAAGGGGAGACCACTTTTGGTTAAACTTGTTCATTGTGTTATTCAAAGTAGACATCTTTTTTTCAATCTGTTGTTGTTGAATAATGCGTCTTTTTCCACCATTGAAAGACGGTTCAATATTTTTGAATCGACATGTATAGATATAATATTTAATTATCAGTATGAGATAGTTTATGATAGGTGGACCCTTTTCACAAAAAAATAACACATCCTTGATATTCATATGATCAATAATGATAATATTATTATTCAAGTCATTCACCCAAGCTATTAAATCATTCCATATATTATTTATTTTCACACAGTTAAAAAATAAGTGTTCAATTGATTCTGGTGCATCTCTACAAAAAGTACATAGATCCTCATCCTTAACATTAATTTGGTAAAGAAAACTGTTTGTTGTTAATATTCTATGAAGAATCTTAAATTGTAGATTTTGAAGTTTTGTGTCAATTGTCACCAGAAAGCTTGTTAAATAAATGTTCTCCCAACCTATATCATCATTTAAATTTGTATTTAACTTTCTATTCCATTTTTCCTGCCTTTCAACTGGATAATGTTTGTAGTTAGCAACAATCGCTTTATAAACATATCTAAGATCTTTTGCTTGAAGAAGTCTTCTTAAAAATTGCTTTTTTTCTGATTGATTGTTGATCAATGGTTGTTGTCGTATTATGTTTAAGTTTTCTCTTGGAATGTGGTCTATTACTGCAAAATATTGTAAAAAAATAATTTTCTCACATCTAGTCATAATATCATTGAATGACAAAAACTGATAATTATTGTCCAACAAGTCCTTAACTGTCTTCACCCCATTCCGTTCATATTCAATAAATTGTTTGAAACTAGGAACTGGTATGTAATTCAAAAGATCATCACCAAGAAAACTTGATACTTCATTATTATCATCTTTATATTCTTTCCATGCTAAAATAACATCTTTCCAGAAAACATTAGTTATATTTTTCGATATTTCCTCCAGTTTTGATTTTTTTCAGATTCCATAATCTCTCCCCTCCAAATTTACTAAAATTATATTTTGCTAAACTTTGCCAGTCCCCATTTCCATCATATAGCCTTTTCACCCACTTCATTTTCAGTTATTTCATAAAACTTTCAATGTGTATCATCTTTAAACCTCCTTCTCCATATTCAAGAATCATTGTATCGCGTTTGATTTTGTCAGGTTTGTACCCACATATAAATCTATAAAAAAATGTGTTAATTTCGCTTATCCATTTTTTATCTGGATTTGGCAGTGAATACAGTAGATGTGTCAACTGTGATCTTACCTAAAAGAGTAGGATTTCTTTTAGACCACATTCCAATTTATTTTCCTTCTTTGAGTAGTTTTGTTTCAGTTTCCGTTTCGTCGATAAGGTGTTATTTCCTGTTTTCGGCTTTTGATGTGTTTCTATTCTAGGTTCTAGCACTCTTTATTCCTGGTCCTTGTCCTTTGTTCAATACTGAATAACCAATAGTTTCTCCCCTTAAGTAAATTATATGGTCGCCCTTAAGAAGGAGTCACTTATTATTAAATATTAATAATTCCTTGTTATCTACGTAAGAATTTCCTGAATATCTTTCAAAAAAATATTGCTAAATAGTTTAATCTTGCCTATTTCCTGTTTTGGCCATATAAAATGTAAATAAATATTCCTTGTTCCCGTCACCATTCATTAAGCAATATATAAAAAGTTGTTTATGTTTGTTATGATATAAGATAGCACATTTTAGTTTATAAGCACCTGTTTCTGTTTCCTATCCATTAATATTTGTATTACATACTGTATATGATTAGAAACAAAGTTTAAACTAAGAATATAGGTACGCCCCTATATTTGCTCAATAAGATCAAAAGTATTTATAATATGTATGAATTAACCCGATTTATTTCATTCTATTTATTGATATGACATTTTTGGTATTCTTGGTATATTTTTATGGTATATATTACACCAGACAGACAGACAGATTCTGTATTTCCTCCACATAGAGATTACATGTCTTACATGAATAGAGTGTTACAATAATTAGCTCGTTTGAATTATAGAAAACATAGTATATAAATGTCATATTGCTATGTTATCAACAATGCAGATTATTTACATACTATATTATTTCATTCTATTTATTGATATGGCATTTTTGGTATTCTTGGTATATTTGTATGGTACATTACACCTACCGCATAATAATTATAGAGACATTCTAGCATGAATCGTATGGAATAGAAGGTTGTTGGTAAAATATTTGGTCCGTACCCTGTCATTAAAATGAGGTTGTCATCGAACGATGCTAGGTGAATATTCATAAACAAAACATTTCAAGTTGAGGCCTTTTTCTTGGACGAAGATGTCAATCAAATTATTTTTTATTTGAATGGCTACACCTGTGCCATTTGACACGCATGAATTAATCAAGACTTCCGTTATGAATCTTTTCTACCTTCTCCTTATTACTTATTCATTACAGTAATACTGGTTTTGATGTTCATGACTTCCTTCAGGAGTCACAGATGAATGCTCTCCACACTCTTTCATTGACGAATGCTTTGATACTAATGAATGCCTATGTTGTTTATGAGTGATGCTTAATTTCAAATTGGACTTCTTAGTCACCTAAGTTTCTCGTAGCCTTGGTGGCCACATCTATTTCTATTGGGTGGTGATACGGTTCATTCAAGTAACCAGTGTATTTTAACTGACTTAAGTAAACTGCAGGGTCAGTATTCATGAAACCGTTCTCATGCTCAAATTTTGTGTTCAAGTCAAATTTCTTGTTCCGGTGATAAATTGATTAAATATTCTCTTTTTGTCAACATTTTGGAACATTTTATGGAGAGACGTCAAGTCACATTCTATTTGAAATGTTAACATTTGTCTATATGGCTGTGTCACATGATTTAAGCATGTAACAAGAAAATTGGTATGAGCACAAAATCCAAGCTAGAGTATGAGAACGGATTCGTGAATACGGGCTCAGGAAAATGCGTTATTGTCAAACAAAGCTTCTGCTGTGAAGAAATAAATATTGAACGATAGTTATCTATTCTTCACTAAGTTGAAAGGGACAAATACATAATCATGTAAATTGCTTTTAATTTTCAGTGACAGAAGCTGTCCGAATACGTACCCGTTACTACACAACATACTACTACCGTTACTATTACTATGGATATACCACAAGTACCGTGTAAGTATACCACTTTACCACTCAATGATAAAGTTATATAATTTTGGATATACCACAAGTATCGTGTAAGTATACCACTTTACCACTTTATGATAAAGTTATATAACTTTGGATATACCACATATACCATGTAAGTATACAACTTTACCACTTAATGATAAAGTTATATAACTTTGTATATACCACAAATACCGTGTAAGTATACCACTTTACCACTTAATGATAACGTTATATAATTTTGGATATACCACAAGTATCGTGTAAGTATACCACTTTACCACTTAATGATATAGTTATATAACTTTGGATATACCACAAATACTATGTCAGTATACCACTTTACCACTTAATGATAAGGTTATATAACTTTGGATATACCACAAATACCATGTAAGTATATCACTTTACCACTAAATGATAAGGTTATATAACTTTGGATATACCACAAATACTATGTAAGTATATCACTTTACCACTTAATGATAACGTTATATAACTTTGGATATACCATAAATACCATATAAGTATATCACTTTACCACTTAATGATAAAGTTATATACCTTTGGATATACCACAAATACCATGTAAGTATACCACTTTACCACTTAATGATATAGTTATATAACTTTGGATATACCACATATACCATGTAAGTATACCACTTTACCACTTAATGATAAGGTTATATAACATTGGATATACCACAAATACCATGTAAGTATACCAATTTACCACTTAATGATATAGTTATATAACTTTGGATATACCACATATACCATGTAAGTATTCCACTTTACCACTTAATGATAACGTTATATAACTTTGGATATACCACAAATACCATGTAAGTATACCACTTTACCACTTAATGATGCCGGTACTACATGTACTGATTATGGTCATTTCTACATCCCCTACTACCGCTACCATAACGATATTACCACTACTCTACATGTTGCTTTTGTTTTTAATAGTGGTCATACCGCACATACAATTTACGTGTGCTTATGTAAGCTTACCACTACACAATGTATGCCGATCCAAGGAAGTATTCCCCCATTCTATCCATACTCCGAAGTACTTTTAGAACTTACCTAAATGTCCAAAGTATGGCAATACCACATGTACAATGTAAGGATTAAACTTTCACGATATTAGTTATGTTGGCATGTATACTGCCAGTATACCCATCTTAAGTACGGCCATGGAAGTTTATTACAGTTTAAACATTGTGCTTTCTCCTGAGTAATATGTGCTTAAGATACTGCTCAATGGAGTAAACAACGTTTGTCTAGTGGCTCTGTTGCTGATCTGCTTCAAGAACTGCACTAGGACTGTGATAGAAAGAAAAGAGCTTAATATTAAATATACAAAACATTTTTTGTATATGTGTAGCTCTCAAAAGCATGGAAATGCTACAAATGTGGAGCACAGCTATAAGTTAGTTACTGTTACAACTAATATAAGTACAACACAAGGGTTTTATAACATTACAATAGGCGTTGGCACAAAGCAGAAATTATTGTTTTAATGAAATACTGGTGTAATTTGGTAAAGTATGAGGACAGGTGAAGGTAAAACGTAATCATCCAAGATTGTAGCACGAAATCACAAACAGTAACTAAAGTGATACAAGAAACCTTCGTGTTGTTTGCTATTACCTCGTTTTCAGTATTTTCTTGTTCCTGATGTAAACGTCATTTAGACTACGAAGATTTGTAGCGTTAACGCGTTTATCATTGTTGGGTTTCCAAGTGAAAAAGTCTTGTAATTGCAGTTCCGCCGGAGTGATAGCAGGCATTGTGATTGGTTGCTTGGTGGGCGTTGCCGTATTGGTGGGCGCCATAATTCTTTGCTGTGTTTGTTGCTGTGGTCGAGGAAGGGGCAGGCCACAAGGGGGACAGGTCATACAAACGCAGAGCGGCACCACAGTATCCACCGTCGGTAAGTAAAACACTTCCACAGTATCCTAAAAACAAATAAGGTTCATACCTCTCACATCTTCCGGTATTGGGTCGAGGCTCATTGTTGTTTTACTTTTTAAAATCAGCAAACTTCCCTTCGTCTTTCTTTCCTTAATTCAGTATATATGTTGCACGAAATAGCTTCGAACTATTACATCAGAATCATTTTGTCAAATAAGTGTAAGTAAGATATTTTATATAGACATAATGCCATGTGGGTTTCTCCCTGATGATTGCTTTATAAATATGTCAACTGTGTTTATGTATATGATTAAAATGTCTTCATGTAAGTTGCTTTCATATGTTTGACCCTTCATTTCTGTTGCAATATATATATATAAAAAAGAAGATAATTATGTTGTTTTATATATTATTTTTTACTTTGGGATGTTATCAAAATCGATTTTAAATCATTTTTTTTTTTACAAAGTATCGATTGTTGGGTGGCAAACGGATTCTAACAGTCCCAATCATATATATATAGCTTAAATATTTATATCGCTGGTTCTCTCTTTCAGCTAGTAACGTGGCCTACTATCCAACTGCACCAGGAAGTGTGTTACATCCGCCACCGGTCAATCATGAGTACTCTGCCCCTCCACCCTCTTATAATCAGGTGACTTCTGATCATGAGGGCAGCGTGAACTTGGGGTTCGAGGACAACAAACAAACAGTGTACCACCCGCCAAGTTAGATAGAATATGCTGACATATACTAGTATAGTGTATGGTAGATGGTACACATGTACACAAATTAATGAAATTGATAAACTGGGTGATAGGAGCCTTATTTTGTGTAAATTCGAGAAATCGACAACGGAAAGAGAACATCTGGAAATATGTATTAGCAAAATACGTAGTCATAATCGCTGCTGAGCCAGATATTAACTTAAAAAAAAAAAAAAAAAAATATATATATATATATATATATCAACTTTATTTTTTCTATTTTTTACTATTGGCTTTAATATGATAATTAAAAATGAGTATGTCTATTGGAGAATGCTTCCAATATCTCTGTACATGACCGACAACTTGAATGTTTGGGTGTTTACATGTTGTAACATGTGTATATAATCTGATTTGAATATATATTACTTTAGTCCATTACATAAAACATGATATTATTCGATTTACCTTTACGAATCATTGCTCAGTTTTTTGGTTTTATTAATCCTGGTAGTCTCAAGAACAAAAACTTATTTTCTAATTGGTGATAAACCAATACCTTCTTTGCTTTAAACATTCAGTTCAAAACGTGTCTATTTATAGCTTTCAAATGGAATAAAAAGGAATGATAGTTTTTTCCTGAGCATAGTAAAAAATGTATTGTGAAAATATTGAGATCGACATAGTAAAAGCCGAAAATAAGCCTAGATATTTCCTTTAAAACACTATCACTACAACCATTGTATTTACTGTCAATACAATGTAATTATCACATACCAACATATGGCGGGAGAAGTGCTTTACAGCAAAAAAGCGTTTTTGAATTTGCAAATTTAAAATATTGCATGCCAAAAAGATCGATTTTTGTTTACCAATATATTGGTTGAACAATTCGTATGCAAATTTCAAATTGTGACGTACAACCAACGACCCACGCTATACCGGGCCTTTGTTTTTGTTTTTATGATTAGCACATGAAGGATGTTTCATGTATGGCTAGTGTGAATAATTACTGGTATGTATGCAATATATTGTTGATAAGTAAACAGTCGTGATTTCTTTAAAAAAAACCGGACCAATCGTTGTGCTGTATTGGAACGAACTACTACCAGTTTAACAAAAATGAACCAGTTTTTGCAGAGAGGTTCCAGTTTAATTTGTACTTTCCAATGATCTTTTCTTTGCCCATTTTTAAGCGCCAAATGACAGAAACTTGTATTTTTATTATCTGGTTGGTTCATCCACAAACACGTCCGCTACCAACCCATATATTGAATTCCAATAATATTTACCTCTTCACTTATCTTGCATATATGATAGAGATGTATATATGTCACAATCGAAAGCTACTTATGTATCTATAATTGTTGTATGCCAATAGCAGAGAGGATTTAGATAGGCCTGCCTGCGATGTCTTCCTTGTTTGCAGGTAACCTATGTGTTGGGACATAGAAAGCAAGCCTAGATGAGACCTTGATTTTGATATATTTAATATATTATGTTCATATCTTTTAATCTCATTCTTAATTGTCAAACTTATGATTGCACATGTAAATTTCCAATTTATAATAGTTGGGGATAATTTAGAATTTATTTCATTTTTGAATCTGAATACTGACTATTCGCATGTTATTCAGAACTTACCAATTAAATTGTGTGCTTACTTTAAATAATGGTTTTGGTTATATCAACTATATGCGTGTATAATAGTGCAGATATTTCTTGCCTGACTGTTAGACACTTGGTGTGTACTGTATATGAACTGTAAGCGCGTTAGAGTTAGTTCATTCAATATACAGGGTCCTACGTACATTTGTATATAGATGTCTCATTATTGCATGTCACAACAAATGACTAAATAATGATGAATTATTTTTACGAACAGAAAGTTTACAAGTTTTATTGATTTGGAGCATTCTTTTAATAAGACGTTTTTGTTTTGGAATTTGATATTATAACATATAAAACGTCAATTTAAGTTGATTATGTTTTAAAGTGATATAATTTTAGGCATCTTCCAAGATTTACATTCTCGAAAAAAACACATATTTTCCCTGCACCGCTGGAGTATGTCATGATAAAATCGAATTCCCTGTACGTGCCACCTTGCAGTAAACCAATATAATCCTTTGATATACATCGCGCGGCAGCAAAACGGTAAAATTGACCAAATGGCTCCAATTGCAGGATTAAGCAATCTAAGCCAACCTCCAACTCTTGGTTGAAAAACATTGGGAGCGATTTCCCAGAAGGAGACAGAAAGGCCAATAGTGGTTTTTTTTGTTTTGTATTTTAATTTATTTGAATAAAAGCTTACCTCATGCCTTCAATTTTATCATGACATATTCCATGGGTGGAGACAATATATGTGCATCAAGAGAGGAAAGCTTATACATGTATATCGATAATGAAATAAGACAATATTGTCCTCTTCACAAGAGTCTTATCATATCTGAAACAAGTTGGAGGTCTGAAAACTCCAAGGAATCAGTGAAAACTCCGGGCATGTGTAAGTGCAGTGTATTCTCAAGTGTCATACAAACAAAGTCATAGATCAAAACTCACTTACTACTGTTTTTTGTATTAAATTGTTTTGTAAAAACGAGAAAGAGAAGACCCTCGGTCATAATAAAAAAGAAAGTCATTAAGTGACAGAATAGTGGAATAAAATGAATATTTTGTACGTATTTTTTTCTTTTTCTTGAAACCTTTAATATGTCGTTTTAACAACATCTAAAGCACCGTTTGTATGTTTTCATCAGTAATCATCTAAGGAACAATGTCGTGGTGTTATTCTCATCACATTCAGTACAAAATGTTTGCGTTTTAATCACATTTAGTACAAAATGTTGGCGTTTAAATCACATTTAGTACAATTTAGCATAACGACAGATAATAATTTGTGAACCGATTTGAGACGACCTACGAACTAGGTTATGATAAAGAGATATATAAGAACCTCGGATTATAAGACCATATTTTTCAAACACTTACTTCATGTGTTTGAGGCCAGACAGCTACTATAGAACACGTACAGTCTTGGAAATAACTATTTCAATTTCTTTTTTTGGTCCAGTTCATTATTGTATTTGTCGCCAACTCCATTTTCCTGCTGTATATCTAACATCTTCCATTTGCCTGACACAGTTCTCTGTATGCACAACCAACCTTCTCTGTTATATCTCTTTTATTACCGATCTCAACCTACATCACATCTACTATTGACGGACAATCTTACAACACGGGCTGTCAAGAGATGCAGATTGACGAAGCAGGTTCTATGGTCGCCATCATTATTTTATTGGAAGTATCTTATTGGGAGGTATCTTATTGGGAGGTATCTTATTGGGAGTATCTTATTGGGAGGTATCTTATTGGGAGGTATCTTATTGGGAGTATCTTATTGGGAGGTAGCTTATTGGGAGGTAGCTTATTGGGAGTATCTTATTGGGAGTATCTTATTGGGAGGTATCTTATTGGGAGTATCTTATTGGGAGTATATTATTGGGAGGTATCTTATTGGAGGTATCTTATTGGGAGGTATCTTATTGGGAGTATTTTATTGGGAGTATCTTATTGGGAGGTATCTTATTGGGGGTATCTTATTGGGAGGTATCTTATTGGGAGGTATCTTATTGGGAGTATCTTATTGGGAGTATCTTATTGGGAGGTATCTTATTGGGAGTATCTTATTGGGAGGTATCTTATTGGGAGTATCTTATTGGGAGGTATCTTATTGGGAGTATCTTATTGGGAGGTATCTTATTGGGAGGTATCTTATTGGGAGTATCTTATTGGGAGTATCTTATTGGGAGGTATCTTATTGGGGGTATCTTATTGGGAGTATATTATTGGGAGGTATCTTATTGGGAGTATCTTATTGGGATTATCTTATTGGGAGGTATCTTATTGGGAGATTTCTTATTGGGAGGTATCTTATTGGGAAGTATCTTATTGGGAGGTATCTTATTGGGAGTATCTTATTGGGAGGTATCTTATTGGGAGGTATCTTATTGGGAGTATCTTATTGGGAGGTATCTTAATGGGAGCTATCTGATTGGGAGTATCTTATTGGGAGTATCTTATTGGGAGGTATCTTATTGGGAGTATCTTATTGGGAGGTATCTTATTGGGAGTATCTTATTGGGAGGAATCTTATTGGGAGTATCTTATTGGGAGGTATCTTATTGGGAGTATCTTATTGGGAGGTATCTTATTAGGAGGTATCTTATTGGGAGTATCTTATTGGGAGTATCTTATTCTTATTGGGAGTATCTTATTGAGAGGTATCTTATTGGGAGTATCTTATTGGGAGTATCTTATTGGGAGGTATCTTATTGGGAGCTTTTTGGGAGGTATCTTATTGGGAGGTATCTTATTGGGAGTATCTTATTGGGAGTATCTTATTGGGAGCATCTTATTCTTATTGGGAGGTATCTTATTGGGAGTATCTTATTGGGAGGTATCTTATTAGGAGGTATCTTATTGGGAGTATCTTATTGGGAGTATCTTATTCTTATTGGGAGTATCTTATTGAGAGGTATCTTATTGGGAGTATCTTATTGGGAGTATCTTATTGGGAGTATCTTAGTGGGAGGCATCTTATTGGGAGTATCTTATTGGGAGGTATCTTATTGGGAGTATCTTAGTGGGGGGTATCTTATTGGGAGTATCTTATTGGGAAGTATCTTATTGGGAGTATCTTATTTGGAGATATCTTATTGCCTTGGTTCAGTGCTGGATATACTGTCTCATTGGTTTTAACCTCAGACACAGTTCTGGCACCCATAACATCATAGCATCACACTTAGTAGGAGGAAAGTTGGATAATGGACCTAACATCTTACACCCTCGACCACATTTACGGCTTATAGTTTCAATCAGTAGTTTATCAACAGATCTAGCTGCTATTCGGATGTTTCAAACCAATTTGGCTAAGCTTGCTTTGCTTACAATTGTAGGTTTCTATATGTGATTTCGATGTTACCTTTAATTTCTATCGCCGTTAAAACTGACAGCATTATGGAGCTATCATCTTTTCACAGCTTGGTATTACTCATTGCTTTGGCGACATTCCCCCTTTTCTATTTTGCTCATCTGTTGATAATTTTACACGTTGTTTAGTTCTTTGCAACTCCGGCTACTTTTACTTTATTAATTTCTGTGCTTTTTACTAAAAGCTCACAATTATTGTGTTAATCCTTCGACGGTGATTAATATCTTCCCGCTAAAGCCCAATATTTCACTATATCTTCATGCACAGTAGGTATACAAATAACGTGTACATGCACTTAAACTACAGTAGAGTTAAAATGTAAAGACAAACTGTTAACTAAAAGACAGACAATAATTAAATACAGATTTTATTTTACTGCATCCATATGTATGCAGCTCAAATTTGAAATAAATAAATTTCTCAGTCTAATATCTACCATTCAAATCAATATTTTTGCTGATATCACACTTGTATAGGATAACTAGAAATTTGTGTTTGCGATGTTTCTAAGGGGAGACATTATTATAACAAATTCATAGTTCTAAGTTGAAACTAATCAGTACTGCCGATTGTTCACATCACATATATGTTTTGTCTTTATATCAGTTTTTTAGTTCACAAAGGTGTTTTTTGCACCAGCTCTGAGAAAGGGTATGCGTCCTGTATAGTTTTTCTTTTTTTTTTCTTCGGCATTGATAAGTATTCATCCTGTTCAGTTGTCTGAAACAATGAAAACAATGTTAAAAACATCAATATATATATTTTGAACTGAAAGAAAACTAGAACTGTAAGCCAGAGGCTAACTTATATCCCCGCTCCTATTTAAACCAGAACTGTAAGCTAAAGGCTTACTAAGGCAAAGCATTGCAAAGCAATCCATAGTCTCCCACCAGTAATGAGGTATTTATTGACTGAGCTGTACACTTATTTAAGTATACTGGTCACTGACATACTTCCAGTACTCCCTCCCCATGCCAAAACATACTTACATAACAAATCTTGTTAACCCAGATGAACCAGTTTTGCTAAAATTGTCTTATTAGTTAAAAAAAAAAGATGTCGGTGCAGAGATTATTTAACAAAGTGGCATAACTCCTCAAAAAAGGGCCAAAATGGAAAAAAAAATCATTAGCCTGATGCACGGCATCAGGGGATTATTACAATTTCTGTACAGGTTCCATTGAAATCGGCCCGGTAGTTTATGAGACGGACAAAGGTTCATTCAACAAAGAATCATAACTCTTTTTAAAAGGGTTACAATAAAAAAAAAAGTACTACTTGGATGCACAACGTCAGGGGGCAGTTACCATATCTGTAAAAAAAATGTGAAATTGGCCCAGTAGATTAGAAAAAGTGTCAGGACAGGTATTTTTCAACAAAGGGCCATTGCTCCAAAAACAGGGACAGAATGAAAAAAGAAAACCTGGATGCACAACTTTAGGTGGTAGTTATTATATCTGGAAAGTTTCGTTGAAATCGGTTCATCACTTTAGAAGGAGTTGTATGGACAAAAATTGTCTACGGACAGGCAGACAGACGGACAGACAAGCTGATTCCAGTATACACCCCACCCCCACCCCTAACGAATATAATAATTAATCAAAAACACATTTATATCAATTAATTACTGTTCTAAAATGTGTAATGATCATGACCAGAAACAACTTTATTTTTTTAACCTGCTAATATTTTACATTAAATACCTGGTCTGTTGGATGTCTGTATTGAATTCTCGTTGTTATTGTACATATCTCGGTACATTTTCAACCAGTTTCTCAGCTTTGATCGTAAAAAATTAGTGTTGGTAAGGCTGAGTCTCTTCATCAATAGTACTGAAACATACAAAGTCAAATTTATCTTAAAAGCATTGTTTCCATATTTTCTCATAATAATAATTCTGCTAAAACAGGAGTTCTTTCAATATTTCTTTAGACAGTTTTTAGGGTTAGTCCAAAAATCTACCTGACCCAAGAAATCCAAAATAGATTACTTCTGTCCAAGGTGGGGTTGCTTGCCTAAAACATCAATGCAAATTATTAATGAAATTCTAAGGGTGGAACCCCTAAACAAAACCTTGAGTCCTGGGACGGGATAGATGTTTTACTGGAATAGGCCTTACTAGGTGACATATAGTCATGCTTCCCCTCCACCGAGTAGCTCTCACAATGTACAATGATAGTTTACATAAATAACATTATTAGAGAATGTTTATGCCTCCGCCATAAAATGGGTGGGGTGGGGTGGGGGGTGGGGGGCATATAGTGTTGCCCATGTCCGTCCTGTCCTGTCCCGATTCAATGTAAACACCCGTCCCGTCCCGATGCAATGTAAACACTTCGCAACTTCATTCTTTGACAGATATTGGTCAAACTTTTACAAAGGTCAAGTATGAGTATACTTCGGACATCGTTGTATTTCAGGGATCCAATGTCAAGGCCAAGGTCACACTTGCTATATATAGAAAATCATTAACTGATTCAATTTAAACACTTAGCAACTTCATCCTTTCACAGATTTTGGTCAAACTTTATACAAAGGTCAAATATGGTAATACCTCTTACATCCTTTTCAAATATGTTATGGAGATGGTAATAACATACAGAAAAAACATCTTGAATATTAAAATCAACTTATTAACTTTAAGTGTAGTACCTTGTGTGTGTGCATATTTTAGGGTATTAAGATCA